TGATTTGATTGATTTGATTGATTTGATTGATTTGATTGATTTGATTGATTTGATTGATTTGATTGATTTGATTGATTTGATTGATTGCTAAATGATTTAACAAGTGATTTTTGTTTCTTTTCGGTATGAGAAAATTGAATGATACAGAAGTTCGAACGTGTTTACTAATAGTTTAGTAAAGTTTATTAGGGATTATGATAAATTGAGATGTAAAATTAAGATTCAATGATTGGATTCTGCCAATTTTGATATCATTCGATTCCTCTCATTGAGACCTCTCATTGAGAGGGATTGATAAATTACCCAATCATTAGAACGCAAGAATAGAACGCAAGATATCTCAATTTATCAGAGTACCCTTCTTCATATCACATAGTACGACTCCTATTATAGTGAACTTTTGAAGTAATGAAATCTTTACCGTTAACGTTAATATAATTAACCCGAATTTATTTAGTTGAAATCGATATCCGGTTTTATCCTGCATATATAAATATTTCATTTGAATAAATTATTTTATTGGCTAAATTTAGAAAAAACAGCGCCAAATTTGAATAAATGAATCATTGTACTGTATGTGTGCGTACGCACTCTCGGTGACAAAGTATTTAACTACCTAAAAAAAATGTTGATTTATAAAAAATATTGATTTATCACACTATTTTATTATTATGACAATTTTACAGTTAGCTGAATGCTTTTCGTTTTATCTTCTATATGCTTATATTTGAATTTAAATCTGAATCAGAAGGCCGAATCCAGTTCCGAATTCTACCTACTACGTATAACAAGAATAAGTAAAATTCTTCAAACATGAACTATAATCTCCCTTGTTCATCTCATGTATATTATGATCAAATTTTGCCATCCCAAAGAATACAAGATTGACTGTTTAAAGTTCAATCCTTGGATTCTAGAGTATTCTATTGCCATATATGCTCATCTGTTCGATCCAATTTACACAAAGTTCGTCACACATATAACATACATGTATGTATTTATTTAAATGTGCAACGTTAATAATATAAAATTATTTAAATTGTACATACATACCAACATCTACTTCGAATTGTTTTAAAAAAAAATGGCAACTGTAGAATTAACTAAAAAAAGCCAGTCAAAGGCTAAACGAGTAAGTAATACTATTTAGATGAATTTAAAAATGGTTAAATATGATACTAATCTTTCTATTTTTATTTTTATTATCGGTAGAGATCTATGCCTGCAAATATAGGTCATCGCACGGATTTTTTGAATGAAGAAAAACAATCTAGTTCTAGTACTTCTATGCAAATAACAACAATCGAAGAAAATGATCATCACATTCTTGATTTGTTGTTAAGCGAAAGTTTCAGTGACGCTGAATTGGGCTTAGATCAACCTTTGGAACCAACTAAATATACCTTCGAAGAGAGTGGTTCATGTAGCAATAATAACATCGAAACTAATGTTCAGTCAAGAGAAGTATCCATTTCACAAGACCTAGGAGAATCGTCAATTTCAAATCCTGAAAGAGAGGAAATAAACAATGTATTAATATCACAGGTAATAAATTATCTATCAATGTTTGAATTTTTTTTTAAATAAATAAAAATTATTGAGTTGGTCTTTTTATTTAAAATTAATTTGTAGGATGTTATTGAATCTTTAACTAGTGTAAAGCATGTTGCACTCATAGCATTAGATAGTCTTCTACGTCAAATTGTTGCGGATCACAATTCTTATATTATGACATCTGAAATAAGGTCAACACATTCAAAAATGGATTCTTGGAGAAAACGTTCTTTCTCTTTTAGTGATTCTCTGTCACAAAATGCTAATCCTGTATTAGAACATTTACCCCAAGAAGAGAGAAATTCCTGGATAAGATCTCAACTATTGGCTGATATTGCTCAAAATGCAACAATGTTGAGTACTGGAAATGAAATGTTACAAATCGATTCAAAACAACTATATTCACCTGATGTTGCTACACTTGATATAATTCGGCGTCAGTTAAATTCGAGTAGTTCTGTTATTTTAAGTGATAATTATAGCTTAGCATGTACTTTGGCTGCCTTACTTGGATATTTGTATAGAATATTAGAATTATGTGATTCTAAAAATCCTAATCCATGTTCTACATCTGAATTATCAAATACTATCCAAGCTTCTGAAGAAATTTTACAATCTACTTCAAATGAAGATATTTATAGTACTTTACATAAAGAAGTAACAACTTTACAAAATCGTCGTGCAAGTTTAAATTTATATAACAATGTTACAGATGAGCGTCTTGCAACTTGGAATGAAATTGATCGATTAATGGAAGTTGTTGCTGCTTTATGTCATGAAAGATCCAATAATGATCCACCTCCTGAATATTCAAATAACCTTACAGAAGGTGATTATGAAGCTGTAGTTGATCCGCCAAAATATCCATTAGTTAGTGGAAATTTAAATATAAAAATAGACAATGAAAAAACAAAATTAGATTTGGATAATGTTATCTCTGCAATAGATCGTGTTTATAATGTGGCTCCTCAACTTAATAATCAACGTGTAGAACTTAGTCAACGTCAAAAGAAAAGATTAACCGCCGCAACTTTATCAAATGTCATTCAGAAACTATCTCGTGGACGTCTTGAAGAACAACGCGCTGATTCTTCATCTATTGTAAAATATCAAACATTGAATCGACTTGTTGACCAAATAAACAAGGCTGCTGAAAGAAGTTTTGTGGACCAGCGTGTTGAACTTAGTCCTCGTCAAATTCGACAACATGAAGTTGCTAAACTAAACGGTATTATTGAACGTCTTGAAAAAAATAGAATGACAAATCAAGTATGTTTCATATTATACGTATATAGTCACTCCTTCTTTTTTAATTAAAAAATATATATATTTATTTATTGATTTTTTTTTTTTATAAAGGATTGGCATTCACCAGAACAGCTTCTTATTCGGGATTTGACAAGACTTACAAATGAATTGACAAGAACAAGTGCTGACACTATTTATGCCTCTCAACGATATAAACTCTCACCTGATAAAGAAAGAGATATGTTTATGAACAGTATAATCAAAAAAGTTGAAAAAATGCAATCATATCGTATGGAAGATCAGGACGCAGAATCACCTACTGAACGTAAAGAACGCGCATGGAAGGAAATCGAAAACGTGCTTACTAAACAACAATATAGTCCCTCCATGAACTATCAGCGTGCCACATTGACCCCCAAGAAACAAATTTTTAATTAAAAGATTTTATTTTCTCATTTCATAATTTGTCATAAAACCTTTATTTTACGCAAGTTATTCTTACCTATTATTTATAAAATCCTGTAATATATGCATTTATATTATTTATTTGTCTATTTATTATTATTATTTTTCCATTATTCATATTCCTTGATAAAATATACATCATTTAGGCTAACGGCTTTATGTGAGCTTTCGGTTTAATTAATTAATCAATCTCAGAATTAACCAGATGCCATACCTAACACTAAGATATTGTAATTTTATATATTTACCAAGAAGAATTTTTAATCCTTAACTATCATTTTAAATCAAAAGATTTTCTTTTTTTTTTTCCAAATTTTCCAATATTGCAATGAATATACATACAATATCAAACGTTCAGTTTAAAACATTGTATTATCGTTATCAAAATGTTTTGATGCTAATGACTCTAGTTATAACATCATAAACCCACAGCTGGTTTTAACGGAACTTCTTTTAAATTTCAAACTTATGTCTTTAATATGAAAATGTCTGGTTAAACAGATCATTTGAATATATAAATTTATTTTTGGAAGGTGTCAATATATGTGCATAGCTCAAGTGGCCTAATCATCATGAATATTTTATCGTCATCGTTATAGCAACGTGTTTTTTAAATCAAACATATACCGATACAAAATTTTACAATCACTGATCCTAGACAAAATTTTTTTACTTCCGGCCTAGCCGATCACGATTCCGATTACTTCTGATCCAGGCCAAAAAAAGTTGTTACGTTCATATGTAAAATTGGTCTGATTTCAAAAATAATTACTCATATAAGTTTACAATGTTAAACTTCACAGATCGGACCAATAAAATTACAGAATTTCGTGTAATAAAACGGAAGAAATTGTT